CAAGGTTACAAGTACAGTACAACAGTACAACACAACATCTGTACACAGCCAAAACCATGCAAGGTTACAAGTACAGTACAACAGTACAACACAACATCTGTACACATCCAAAACCATGCAAGGTTACAAGTACAGTAAAACAGTACAACACAACATCTGTACACAGCCAAAACCATGCAAGGTTACAAGTACAGTACAACAGTACAACACAACATCTGTACACATCCAAAACCATGCAAGGTTACAAGTACAGTAAAACAGTACAACACAACATCTGTACACAGCCAAAACCATGCAAGGTTACAAGTACAGTACAACAGTACAACACAACATCTGTACACAGCCAAAACCATGCAAGGTTACAAGTACAGTACAACAGTACAACACAACATCTGTACACATCCAAAACCATGCAAGGTTACAAGTACAGTAAAACAGTACAACACAACATCTGTACACAGCCAAAACCATGCAAGGTTACAAGTACAGTAAAACAGTACAACACAACATCTGTACACAGCCAAAACCATGTAAGATTACATGTACAGTAAAACAGTACAACACAACATCTGTACACATCCAAAACCATGCAAGGTAAAGCAAGATTTCAATTTCTTTGTGGCAGAATATATATCTTCTGGTATGCTACAGCCCATTATTGTGGAATTGTAAAAAGTTTAGCAGAAAGTGTTAAGACAAATGTTTAAAGAAGGTGTTTAATGTTACGTCACCGATTATCCAAGATCCATTAATGTCGTCTGCAAACTGAAACCAGAACCTTCCCAGGCAACATTCCACAGATCAAACATATCTGAAGTACATGGTAGAACACCAGGTTGGTCCAGAATCTGGATACAAATCAAAATTTAGTGATAGATGGTTATGAATGTCTTTATTTTAGGATCTTATCAGCCTGTTTTTCTATGTTAGGTATTTAATACCTAAAATAAGACATTCTGGTGCATTGTTTCATCATTTTTAGTTTGCCTATGGAAAAAAATAGTACAGGAAGGGAGTGGGAAGGAGAGAGGATTGGGAGCTGATGTATAGTCACCATGCTTTCATTGCTAAATCACGCAAGTGAACATGAGGTGAAAGTATATAATTATTAGGATGACAAATATCAACTTTTTTTTCACCCTTTTAGTTCTTAGCCCATCATCATCACTTTGATATTTATATATTATTATCACTGTTTCATAATTTTGGGAAGAGAAATTTGATATTTGATGTAGTTAAGAGTAAAAACATGAAAGAAAGGAAAAGATCTTGTTTTTGGTACAATTATGTTTTTAACCTCAAGAATTTAAAGAAATTTCAGATAGTTAAGAGTTTAAGATATAGCTTTATGAAAGGTCGATAGGTTTATTACATATCACGAATGTAATTCAATTGAGACTTTGAAATGAGGAAATTAAGGACCAGGCAGTAGATAAGTTTTCATTTAATTTTTACTGTGACTCAAAAATTATGTTGCTAGTATGAAGACAAATTTGTTTTTTAGACCTATAACTTTCTACTGTATGATCTTTTTATGTTTTTTTCATCGGTTTTGGATGCTGTTTTTTCTCTTATTTTTGGAAAGAGAATTTACAAATTGTGATATGTATTTTGACTACCAAACTGCATCTTCGATTTTAAGAATTTAGATATTTAATGAATTACATTATCATTATTGACTGGGAAAATCCCTTGATAGACACTTGCTTTTGTATATTGATGTATCCTGTGTGTGTATACTTTGGAATGAAACTACAGTCTTGATAATACTTTGGCTATACACAGTCTTTACTAAACGACTTCCTTCCATTTGACTTCATCAGATAGAGTAAATTTGTTGTTCTACGTACGTGTTTTACATGTTCATCCAATAGGATCTACTGGTTACATTTTCATTACAAGCCTAATGAGCCTTTCTTATTCTCATTTACTTGTGTTGTCATGTCTTCTTTACAACTTGTAATAAAACATTGTGATCATACAAGCCCATTGAACCTCTTGTTAATGAAGAACATACCAGTCTGCATGTTGTACAACTCAACATCAATTTAAACAATGCAAAGTGTAGTGCGTACATAAAACAGCATGTCTGAGAGCATGAGGGGAACTACATACCTAACATTGAGGGATTTCTTAATTATTCTGACATTAGGTAATTTCTTAATCAGATTATTTTTAAATATTCTTTAATTTTACGCTCACCTGCCCAAAACGCCAAGTGAGCTTGTGTCGTGGTACGGCGTCCATCATACATTTGTCCATCTGGCATCAACTCTTTTTCTTTGCACAACTTCCTCTTAATGAGTAGGAGTCCTAAAATAACTAGCATCAACTTTTCCATATGAAGAACTTCTCAATAAGTAGGAGTCCTAAAGTAATTGACATCAATTTCTCCATATGAACAACTTCTTCTCTATAAGTAGTAGCCCTAAAGTAATGTTGTTTGGCTGACAGGTTCCTTGGATTACCTTGACCCATATTCAAGGTTATGTGGGTCAAATTTGTTAAAATTTGTAATGATTTCTTCTGATTAACATAAAGGCCAAGAGACATTATATTTGACTCATAAGTTGATATGATGATGCCTAACAAAGTTTGCAAAAAGAAATTGCCTTGACTAGAGTTAAGGTCAGAGAGTTAAGTTATCTTGCATATATATAAGGCCACATGGGTTAAATTTGTTAAGTCCAAAAACAACTTCTTCTGATAAACCGAAATGTCTAAAGACATGCTATTTCACTGATAGGATGATGTTCAAAAAACGAAATGACCTTGAACCATATTCAACATCACACTATTTCTTCTGATTAACGAATCAGCTTAGAAGCATATTTCGCAGGTAAGTCTCTCAGATGAAGCCTGACAAAGTTTGGAAAAAGAAATTTGACCAATATTCAGGGTCACATGGTCAAATTTACGGAAAACTCCCGACAATTTCTGACGATTAACAAGAAGGTGCTAAGGCATGATATTTGGCTGTAAATCCTGTAAGAGATTCCTTCTGGTAGACCAAATTGCAAAAGAGTAAAAAAAAGAAGAAATAATAGGTCATAACTGTCAATGATTCGAGCAGAGTGTTAGAACCTTGTGTCTGTTATAAAAATTCATAAAAATGGATTGGATGTGCCCATTTTAAATGAACATTGATTGTATTAATGATGCATGTTGAATACAAGGTGAGTGATTTAGGCCCTTTTGGCCTCTTGTAGGTTATGCACTGTATTGCAAAATCAAAATGCCTTACAATACATATTTGTCTAAATCCTTAGTAGCAGTTGATTTAGGTATTCTGATTTCTTCACGTTAGCTCCGCACCCCCTCCCTACACACATACACACACATGCACATACACACACATATACATCTGTTAATAATCAGAAATCTGGTAATACTGATGTTTTTCCACGTACATGTCAGCATAAAGATATATGTGATACCATCTATCTCAATTTACCATGTTTCAATAATGTTATGAGCTTGGTATAATACAAGATGTAGAAATCCTTAACATCTCCTCATCAAAAACATACTTTTCTGAAATAACAGTAAATATCTTGATTCAGAGAACTCCATTCAAATCATGCAAATCTCTTTCCGTGTTCTTATAGATTTTGTCATTAATCAAAGTAGTTCATATTGTGCGTTGTTAAGTGGATCACATGATGTTATTGAGATTGTTTGTTAGTGGGCTCTCTGATGTGTGGGAGATGCATGTGTGCTTGTCTATTTTCTTTTGTCTAAACCATTATACTACAACAGCAATGAAACTCTTCTTCAAAACAGTTCTTGGCAGATCAACCCTATATTGTCATGTGTGCTCAAAGCAAAGTGGATGAGTTTCAAGGTCAGAACTGATGATTTCATTTCTAGGGTAGGAAGACCAAGCTAAATGGATAGGTTTAGATAGGAATGATAAAGTCAAGTTGATGATTGAGTGATATGTAATAAGGACACAGTTGGACAAAAGGTAGAAGGGGTTTTATATTGTTATTTGATTATATTGGTTTATATAGGAAAAACTGATCATTAACATGAGATATATGGCTTTCATTCTTTACGTTAACTAGACAATTCACAATTTATGTCAAAACAAACTATGAGCGTGATGTGTTCAAGCAACACATAAAAAAAAAACCCAGAATGTAGAAAGATTGAACTAAGTGAATGTCCCAATATATGTGGACAGATGAATTTCTTACTATTTCTATATTTTTGCACTTTACAAAATGCATACAAATTCAAATTTTGAATTGAAAATAGGAGGATGAGTACTTTACTTAGATATTTGGCTGATCTAATATGAGACTAAAATACCACCTTCAGTAAATGCTATATGTACTATGACATCATGGTCTGTATGATGTCATCAGTGTATTGTTATTGTTGTTAAGCATCTGAAATTCAAATGCTAAACACTTTGTAATTTATTTTTCTATATGGTATCCAGACAAGACTTAGACTATACCAACATATACCAGCAGCGTTGATAACCTTTTAACAAGTCAATTTTATTGAACATATTCTAAACTCCTATGGACCATATATTGGAAACATTGTAAATTAAATCATTATATTTCCTTGAAACATTGCTTATTGTGAACAGATTGTTTGAACTATTTCAATCATAAGACATTTTTCATAGATTAAGACACCTTCAATTTATGTAAACTGTTTCAACCAAAGTTGAGTTATCTCATACAGCTGGTTTTCATGCATAAGTTGTCAAATATATTTTGATCATTTATCAAGGGAGATAACTATAACACAAATTGCTGCGACAAATGTATTGATGTACTTTTAAAGTCTCATGTCTTTCAATTCTTGATATTTCAACTAAAATGGCAGTTTTATAGAGGTGAAAGTTTAATGAATATCAATATCAGATCCAAACAAATACACTGATTATTATTTTTCTTTTTTCTTTTTACAATCATATATATTTGAAATATTGTTATTGTATTTTCAATACCTGCAATGTATTTCTTTTTTATATTTTACAGATTTGGGTTATGACCGATATAAGTTTATAGTCCAAGTTGTGATAGGAGAACAGCGTGGAGAAGGTGTAAAGTAAGTACCACCAAGGGTAAATGTAATTCATATTCTACTTCCTGTGTCTCTCCAAGGAATTACCACCAAGGGTAAATGTAATTCATATTCTACTTCCTGTGTCTGTCCAAGGAAGTACCACCATGGGTAAATGTAATTCATATTCTACTTCCTGTGTCTGTCCAAGGAGGTACCACCATGGGTAAATGTAATTCATATTCCACTTCCTATGCCTGTCCAAGGAAGTACCACCAAGAGTAAATGTAATTCATATTCTACTTCCTGTGTCTGTCCAAGGAAGTACCACCATGGGTAAATGTAATTCATATTCCACTTCCTATGCCTGTCCAAGGAAGTACCACCAAGAGTAAATGTAATTCATATTCTACTTCCTGTGTCTGTCCAAGGAAGTACCACCATGGGTAAATGTAATTCATATTCCACTTCCTATGCCTGTCCAAGGAAGTACCACCAAGAGTAAATGTAATTCATATTCTACTTCCTGTGTCTGTCCAAGGAAGTACCACCATGGGTAAATGTAATTCATATTCCACTTCCTGTGTCTGTCCAAGGAAGTACCACCATGGGTAAATGTAATTCATATTCCACTTCCTGTGTCTCTCCAAGGAAGTACCACCACGGGTAAATGTAATTCATATTCCACTTCCTATGCCTGTCCAAGGAATTAGCATGTATTTGAGGGAGCCATATTAGCCCAGTCAGTAGAGCATTAGACTTTAATGCCTCATGTGAAGACCAGAGGTATGTGGCTCAATGATCTCTACTTGAGGGGGCCTATGTATACCAGAAAGCTGGTGTATTTACAAACTGTCCTGTGCCATCCTGGTTTTATTCTAGGGTATGGCACTTTATAAAGTTGCAAATTGCTCTCAGTCATGTGTGGTGGATCTTCTGTATGTTGTTCAGTGATGTATCAACCAGCTAGTACAAGGAGACCTCCATTTCAAAATGACCCTACGTCAGTTCACAGTGTGATAAAGCTGACAAATAAACAGTGTAACATCAGCATTACGCTTGTTTCATTTGCAGAAGTATTAATGTGAATCACCAGATTACATGCATAAATATAGCTGAATTGATCACTAGCCAAATAATATAAAAACATACATGACAAAAGCTTGGAATACTTCTTATTACAAGTCTGATAATAATAAGCTAACCTGTATTTATTGCTGTTCAGGAAGAACTAACAGTATTTCATTATCCTGTGTTAATCCCTCCTTCTGATGTGGAGGCAATGTATTGGACCCTTGGTTTATTGCAAAATAGATGATATTTTGTTTTTGAATGAAAATCCTCAGGAATCAACATGCCATAAGTTTGTTTTACATGTTCAATCTCCTTGGTTTTAAAGGGATGAATAATCTTATATTGATAGATCAAGAAATTACTAACTGCAGAACTTCAGAAGAGATCGGGATTTCCTACTGATATGTACACAAATTATCAGATACCATTACAATAGACCAGGGCAATGTAAAATTTTGTGTGGAAACCTGGCTTTAGGAGTTGTAAAATTCTTATTTTCAATTTGGTTTTGTAAAGTATAAATTCATTCAATCAAACTGTAAGCACCGATTTTCACATAGTGATACCAGCTATGTATTGAATGCTCACTCAGTCTAACAGTCTGCTGAACATACAAGGACAGATTGATATGTTGTGGGACTTGTATCGGGTGACATAAGCAGGGATGTCCTTTTTCAACTCAACTATTCCCTGACTATTTAAGGCTGTGTACTTGAAGACTGGTGTCATTTGTCAGTTTATGTCGAAGAGGAGCACTCTAAAGTAAACAAGGCAAGTTACTTTTACAAAATGGACTGCTGAAAGAGCAGGATTCGATACTTGCATAAGAAAGGTCTAGCACCTAAGGCTATTCATACTGATATTGTAGCAACACTAAGGAATAATATCACTTTATATGCTACTGTGAAAAAGTGGTTGGCAGAATTTAAGCATTGCAGGCAGAGCCTTGGGGATGACACCCGTCCTGGAAGGCCTGTCACTGTTGCAACCCCATAAATAGTCGATAAAGTCCATGATATTGTTATGGCTGACAGTCAAGTTACAGAGAGATATATAGCCAGTACAGTTGGGATTTCTTAGGAAAGAGGACATTCCGTAAGATCTAGCAATAAGGAAGTTCTCAGCCTATTCGGTACCGAGACATCTGACAGTTGATCAGAAGCACACCAAGAGGTCTTTGTTGTGTGGTAATCTTCAGAGGTTTGTGACTAAGGATGAAACTTTGGTCCAACATTTCACCCCAGAAGTCAAACAACAGTCTAAACATTGAAAGCACAATGGTTCAGCCCCACCAAAGAAGGCAAAGACTGTTCTGTCAACTGGAGTGGTTATGGCCTCAGTTGTTTGGGATGCTGATGGTATTCTGATGGTATTCTGATGGTAGGGTATCTACAAATGGAACAAACAATCAATGGCACTTATGCATCATTCCTTAGACAGTTCAGAGAAATTATTCAAGTGCCACTGAAAACTCAGCAAAGGTGTGCTGTTCCTCCAGGACAATGCCCCTGTTCACACATCTGTCATTGCCATGGCTGTCATTAATAATTGTGGCTTTGAATTGATTATTCACCTGATCTTGCCCCATCAGACTTTCATCTATTTCCAAAATTGAAAAAAGGCCATGTCAGAAACCTACTTGATGATGACATCATACATGCAGTGGAAGACTTTATGAATAGTCAAGAAAAGGACTTCTTTAAAAGTGGTATTGAGGCCCTGAACCATTGTTGGTAAAAGTGTATAGATACTGAAGGCAATTATTGAAAAAATCATGTAATATGTCCGCCAAAAGTCAAACTCCTTAATACGAAGATCACAACATATCAATCAGCCCTCATATAATAGGGCTGATGATTGATAACTTTTTTTTTTGTATTATTTCTGCATAGAGTTTAACAACCTTTGCATATTTATAATAGTATCAAGTATACAAGAAAGTTTCTATATCGACAAGTGTCAATCATGTGACACATTACTTGGTAACTATGGCCAGTGAGCCTTAGCGAGATTTGAATTTGGGGTTAAATGGTTGTTTCAAAAGAACTTGTTTTAATTAAAGTTACAGCTTGTAATCATTACAAACTTTGATAAGATTTATCATACCAGCTAGTGTTGTTAGTAGTCTTCCTTACTTTGCCAATTTTTTTTTTCCTGGTTGAGGAAAGATTTATTTACGCAGATAATTAATTCTGCACAAATTTCCAACATTGCAACATATATCTATATATAAGTGATAGGTACAATCGGAGGAAAGGATTGCACCGCTGCATATATCTTTTATCTCAGCCTCAAGTTTGTTGGCAAGACCAACAGATAAAGGAATTGCATTCATGTTGATGTTTTCTACATCCTTGTGCTTTTGCTGCAAAAAGTGTTCATGAGATAGTGTGGGCAGAAGTTTACAGATCTAAGGCCTGTCGTAAAAATCAACCTAGGTAGTTTTATTCACTGTTTCATTGCCTGATTACATAACACGCACTGCAAGAATTTGCAGCTACTTGAATTATCTGATTTCGAAAAGAACAATTGTTTAACTGAATCAGAAATTCTGAACTATAGATGCTTTAATGATCGAAGTTGATTTTTTAATGACTTACTTTCAGTCGGCCTTCCGAGATTCTTTATCAGCATAGGCTGGTATCTTGCCATTTGTGTAACCTTTTTCCTACCAAATGGCTTGATATGTAATATGAGACGTTGTCTGCTTAAATGTCTCCATGTACAACTCCAGGTATGATGTACAGCACCTGTGTACAGATTTGTACTTTAAATTGTACAGGTATGTTGTACAGCACCTGTGTACATATGTGTACTTTAAATTGTACAGGTATGATGTACAGCACCTGTGTACAGATGTGTACTTTAAATTGTACTGGTATTATGTACAGCACCTGTGTACAGATGTGTACTTTAAATTGTACATGTATGACGTACAGCACCTGTGTACAGATTTGTACTTTAAATTGTACATGTATGACGTACAGCACCTGTGTACAGATTTGTACTTTTAATTGTACAGGTATGACGTACAGCACCTGTGTACAGATTTGTACTTTTAATTGTACAGGTATGACGTACAGCACCTGTGTACAGATTTGTACTTTTAATTGTACAGGTAGTACAGCACCTATGTACAGATTTGTACTTTTAATTGTACAGCACACCTGTGTACAGATTTGTACTTTTAATTGTACAGGTATGACGTACAGCACCTGTGTACAGATTTGTACTTTTAATTGTACAGGTATGACGTACAGCACCTATGTACAGATTTGTACTTTTAATTGTACAGGTATGACGTACAGCACCTGTGTACAGATTTGTACTTTTAATTGTACAGGTATGACGTACAGCACCTGTGTACAGATTTGTACTTTTAATTGTACATGTATAATGTACAGCACCTGTGTACAGATTTGTACTTTTAATTGTACAGGTATGACGTACAGCACCTGTGTACAGATTTGTACTTTTAATTGTACATGTATAATGTACAGCACCTATGTACAGATTTGTACTTTTACCTGTACTTTTAATTGTACATGTATAATGTACAGCACCTATGTACAGGTATTTTAATTGATGTACAGCACCTGTGTACAGATTTGTACTTTTAATTGTACATGTATAATGTACAGCACCTATGTACAGATTTGTACTTTTAATTGTACAGGTATGATGTACAGCACCTGTTTACAGATTTGTACTTTAAATTGTACATGTATAATGTACAGCACCTATGTACAGATTTGTACTTTTAATTGTACAGGTATGACGTACAGCACCTGTGTACAGATTTGTACTTTTAATTGTACATGTATAATGTACAGCACCTATGTACAGATTTGTACTTTTAATTGTACAGGTATGACGTACAGCACCTGTGTACAGATTTGTACTTTTAATTGTACAGGTATGACGTACAGCACCTGTGTACAGATGTGTACTTTAAATTGTACATGTATGACGTACAGCACCTGTGTACAGATTTGTACTTTTAATTGTACAGGTATGACGTACAGCACCTGTGTACAGATTTGTACTTTAAATTGTACATCTTATGTTTACATGGTGAATTTTTAGAGCATTCTTGTTCTAAAAGTCAAATTTCTTTTATCTTCTCAAAAGTTTATTTTAAATAAGTCAGATTTGTCTTTTTTTTTTTGGGGGGGGTGGGGGGGTTGTTTTTAAACTTTCCCTTGATTGTAAAAAACATACCTGACATGTGAATTATGTTAAATTGCGATTAAAGGAGGAACAAACAGCAGTTGAGTTTAACTGCCACGTTGTTATGATAAGTGTTTTCCAAGCAGATTAGCATCAGGGCTTCAGACATGTTGATATAGGTGTCTGAAATATAAGGTAAAACCACAGTTATGTAGGGGTATGTTTATGTAATTGTCTGGTGTGTATTGTTCTTAATCAGTTTAATCGATGGTTGTATTTTTGCCTTTTACTTTTGATGATTCATCAATTGCGATTACACTTGTAAGCACAAAAACTTTATGGAATCAAGATTTGTAACAAACCTGCAATGATCATTAAATCGAAAAAAAAATATACACTTAACCATTGCCAGAAACCGCATGAAGTTATTCAGATTGTATTCCACTAAATAAAAAATTCTCAAGCGTATTTTACCCATTACGATGAATTTTTTTGTAGATACATTGTAAACATCTTCCTGTTTGATTAATCATGAATTTCTGAGCGATTCCTAGCTCAAAATGACCCAACAGACATGGTAGTAAGGAATTCCATTTTTTGCCAATGTCTAATTTTCACCATTTTCTTATTCTATGCTATATACAGCATTTAATTGGCCGGGGAACAGTAAGGATTACCTATAAAAGTTAGTTGCTACCGCACTTAACGTTATTCTCAAGGTCCATCACATGCCAGCCAGAACAACTGGAGTGAAGTATCTTGCCCAGAGACACAACCATGACCAATAAATGAAAAATACTAACAGCTTTAAGCGGCATCAAATTGATTCTCTTCCGACCAAACAGTTGTGTTCCACTCTGTATACTGTTGGTTTTTACGTTTCTGTAGTTTATAAACTATTAACATAGAGGACAAACACGTAAAATATGTAACTATACACTTGGCAAAAAGTTAGTGTACTTGGCGTTCTTCTAAAATTATCAGATATATGAAATCTACAAATTTTACTGAATTATGGTAATAGTGCACCACCCCATATAGAATTTGACACTACTTCCAGTCACTTTGGATTTTCCTCAGTCGCCTCCTAGGTTTAAAATTTAGCTTGTTGTCTATTTACCCGATACTGATATTTCATACCCGTTACTTCTTGATTAATTAATCTGCTTGATCAAATGACATGTTTTGGTGATTTGTTGACATGTAAATAAGAGACTGTTAAAATCACACTTTTTTCTAGACTTTGGAAATTCCTTCGCCTGTTTATCATTTTAATCTGCTACAGCACTTATGATTCAGTAATTTCATTTCCTATGAACATGTATAGTTAACCTAGATGGCTAAAAAACATTCCTTTATATCCTGTTGAGTTGCATATCTGTCTTAAATACATTAAACAAAATTAAGCCCAACCTAAGATACGGATGGTTCCTAACTTTATGTCAAGTGTTTATATGAATGTCTTTTGAAGTTTATTTCATATCTAAGGTCATGTCAATTGTTTTTCAATTCACTAAAGATTGATTTGTAAATTGCATCTCATCGCAACACTGATCCATCTCCATTAATTGATGTACTATTATAGATAGACTGCATTTATGTATGTATATGTCGTCTTTGCTGTGTACTTCCATGGCACTTATTGCGTTGTAAGACCGAATTCTCACATGAAACATGATAATAGCTCTTATCTGCCAGAGCTCTCCAATAGACACACTACTTGTATATTTAGATGCATGTTAACGTCTGTCCTGAAATACTGCCAAGATTATTTTTTAGCACCACTCTATTGTTACAAAACAATTTCTGATTGTTTATCAATAATTATCAGCTGTGGTTATGCAATATAAATGTACATAATGAATGTGGTTTTGGCTTTCTTATGTAAACAATAAAGCTATTTATTTGCTGTACTTTTGGTAGGTATTGATGTTCCTTTCTGACCAGATTTGTTGGACATCATATTATTTAAATTTCTCTCTAATCATTTCATGTCAGGAATAATTCTACATATATTATCTAAAAAGAAATTGAAAGGTCATGACATCAAAATGCTGTGTGAAGGTCATTTCCTTGAGAATACTGTGTGAAGGTCATTTCCATCAATATACTTTGTGAAGGTCATTTCCTTGATAATACTGTGTGATGATCATTTCCTTGAGAATACCGTGTGAAGGTCATGACCATCAGAATACTGTGTGAAATCATGACCATCAAAATACTGTGTGAAGGTCATGACCATCAAAATACTGTGTGAAGGTCATTTCCATCAATTTTCTATGTGAAGGTCATTTCCTTGATAATACTGTGTGAAGGTCATTACCATCAAAAACTGTATCAAGGTTGTTACCATCAGAATACTGTGTGAAGGTCATGACCATCAAAATACTGTATGAAGGTCATTTCATTGAAAATACTGTGTGAAGGTAATTTCCTTGAAAATACTGAGTGGAGGTCATTTCCTTGAGAATACTTCGTGAAGGTCCGTGTTACCATAATATTACTTATTGAGGGTCATTAACATCAAATACTATGTTAAGGTTGTTACCATCAGAATACATTGAGAAGGTCATTACCATCAAAAACTGTATCTAGGTTGTTACCATCAGAATACTGAGTGAAGGTCATTAACATCAAAATACATTGTGAAGGTCATTACCATCAAAATACATTACTATCAGAATTCATTGTGAAGGTCATTACCATCAAAATACATTACCATCAGAATACTGTGTGAAGTTTGCTATTATCACAATAATGTATGAAGGATATTAACAAGAGAAAATTTTGTGAAGGTGTTTTTGGATGGTTCAATGAAATTCTTGAAAATATCAACCTTTACCATAAGTAAGGCTTTAAGTTTACTTCACATCACAATCCTGGTGTTGTATCACTGTATAAGTGTTTACTTCATGGGGTTTTCTTGCATACAAGATTGAATTCTGACCTGGAACAGGAACATTTTGTCAACAAGCTATGTTTTCTTTTAGATTCTCAGATGGACCTTTTGCCTTGTGTCTATAAAAGAAGTAGTGATGTGAAGCACTTTGCTTTGATTTCTGTACATATGAATGTGTCACTGGTAGTAGAAAGGCCTGAAAACTACATTGGTTGACCAGTAATGAAGAGCAAAGTCTATCATGGACAAGGAGTAGTAGGTCCATCTTCATGCACATTTCCTTTACTATAAGCCTACCAAACGAGACCCTTCTTTGTAACCCCCCACCCCCACCTCTTCCCCCCACCTCATGAAATTCAAGTGGCAGTCTGCCTGTCTGTCCAGTGAAACCCTAGTGTCTCTCTGCCTGTCTGTCCACTGACATTCTTGTGTCTGTCCACTGAAACCCTAGTGTCATTCTGCCTGTCCGTCCACTGACATCCTAGTGTCTCTCTGTCTGTCCGTCCACTGACATCCTAGTGTCTCTCTGCCTGTCTGTCCAGTGACATCCTATTGTCATTCTGCCTGTCTGTCCACTGAAATCATACTGTCAGTCTGACTGTTTGGCCATTGAAATCCTAGTGTCTGCCTGTCTGTCCACTGGAACCCTAATTGTCTTGTCCGTGTGTCCACTGAAATTCAATGTATTCAATGTATATGTTCACTGTAAAGTTACTGCTGTTTTGTATAATTTTATATATCTATAATGTATAAGAATTTGGATAGGTTAATGTGACTTTGTCTGAATTTGATCTCAACTTTCTTTCATTTCAGGATGGGGTGCAGGTGTTTCTGGGATTCCGACACAGACAATTATGCTCAGGATATTTTTATGAATGTGAGTATGATGTGTGTAATGGATTAAGTTTCACCTTGGCCGTATTTTGTACTAATTTTTTCATTACTTTTTTCTGCTTTGATGTAGTGCGTTTTTCGTTGGAAAAATGGCAGGGATGGATAGAGGGGAATGGGGGCAGTCTTCTGAAGCAACAGATAAGTCTAAGCTTTCAACAGGGTTGTCTATAGCCTATTACAGAGTATGTAATGTCTGAAGGCTTCCAATGCCTGTAGTTCTAAGCTTCCTTACAAAACTGGCTGTATACTATCTGTTTAAATGATGAAATAGACCTGATTATATCAGACACATCCTCATATGACTTCTACTGGTGTGAGGAAATTGTAAACCTCAATCTTCTTAAGACAAAACTGCACAAAAAAGAGAGAGACAATCAGTGGCCAATTAAAAGTTATCTAATTTCACATTATTACAGTTGATAACAACATTTATTGTTGTGTACATGTTAAATGGACCTGATACACATACTGTAACATGGTAAATTTTCATGTGTTTCAAATTTCATGGTTTTTAAAACAAAAGTCATGCCAACTTATAGCTGTGTATATCAATTTGTTGACCAAACAGATTTCTGGACTTAAAGGAGATGATTGGAACTTCACATTTAGATATGTCACCATTAGAGATCATTGTCCAAAGGAAAACCATGCAATCTCAATTAACTTTAAATGAAGGAAAATAAAAGCTCTCAAAAAATCATTATCATACAGGATACTGCAGATTTATTTCATACGCAAATACATTTCCATGCAGATGTTTATAGTATGGAAAATAAAAATTGGATATTCAAGAAAATGATAGGATTAGGGGAATGGTTTTGTGATCCATTTGGAATATGTTTTAGATTTTCTATAAAAAGAATAAATGGGAAGATTTATAAGATATGTTGTGTTGTCTAAAGCTTCCATATCAATGTTACAGGCCTTGGAATGATGAATTATATACCTAAAATAATTCACTGGATAAAAACATTGATACAATTTTTAAGACAATCAGTTTATACGATAACCACAAATCTTGAGGTATATGGTTGAATACAATATGCACATGCTTTAAAAGTCTTGGCATCTTGAACTGTGATTAACAGATTCCAAGATGCTTTTACAAAAATTCTGGTGTTTGTATCTGTGATGATGAACTGACAGTTATTGATAGAGTTCTCGTTTCTACTCTTACTACATGTCATCATCAACATGCTTCAAAGTGAATGCTGGTTAACCATGTCTGTCTTCTACAAGCACTGTTCTCCCAAATGGCTTCTCTGGCTCAACCAAAAAAAAAAAACACAGACAGAAATAGGTTTTTGGTCTGAGGGTTTGTATTACCTAGTCATTCACAAAAAGTAGTCTTTATAAGCTGTATACCATATTGGACAAAATCAGATATATGATGTTGATAGATTATATCTTTTGGCATAGGTAGAACACATTCTACATAAAAATTATGGCAGGTTAAATTTCGTACTGAAACATGCTTGTAGTCTATTTTCATTTGTGAATGTTACTGAAAACACAGTGGTATCAGATACAGTAGTATTTGAAAGATAACTTTTCTCAAATCAATCTGTGAATTAAGATGCTGTCAAAATTGATCAGTTGATACTTGTGTTAAAAAGAAAGGGAAAGATTCAACTGAAATGGCCTTTTGTCAGGACTTCAAAATAGCATTTAATGGTGGAAGTCCAATTCATGAATACTGTTTTAGCACAGGGCCAATTATTACACTGTAGGACTGGACATGTTGGTTTGCGTGTACAGTGAAACCTTTTTAGTCTGGATACTTCAGTTTGTGTGTACAGTGGAACCTTTTTAGTCTGGATACTTTGGTTTGTGTGCTCAGTAGAACCGTGTTAGTTTGGACACTTTGGTTTGTGTGTATAGTAGAACCTTGTTAGTCTGGACACTTTGGTTTGTGTGTACAGTAGAACCTTGTTAATCTGGACACTTTGGTTTGTGTGTACAGTAGAACCTTGTTAATCTGGACACTTTGGTTTGTGTGTACAGTAGAACCTTGTTAATCTGGACACTTTGGTTTGTGTGTATAGTAGAACCATGTTAACCCTGATACTTTGGTTTGTGTATATAGTAGAACCTTGTTAATCTGGACACTTTGGTTTGTGTGTATAGTAGAACCTTGTTAATCTGGAAACTTTGGTTTGTGTATATAGTAGAACCTTGTTAATCTGGACAACTTGGTTTGTGTGTACAGTAGAACCTTGTTAATCTGGACACTTTGGTTTGTGTGTACAGTAGAACCTTGTTAATCTGGAAACTTTGGTTTGTGTGTCACTCTGGAACCTCCTTTGTTTGAACAACAGTAGAATGTTGCTTCTGCTTGTCTGGACGTTTTGGTTTACAAGTGTATATATATATCATATATTAGAATCTTTTTTGATTTAATAGTTTACAATTCAACTATAGCATTGATGGCTACAGGCCATGAAAATGAATTGGTTTGCAAACTTTATGAATCAATTAATTCTTTAGAAAAATTGCAAAGAAAATAGGAGCAATCAAAGTTCAGTATTTGGTATGAAAACAAAGAAAAATTGTCTTAACAAATTGCTTTGAAACATTTGTCTATTGACTATTTTGGAAGGATTGTACTTTCAGCTCAGGAAGCAGTGTAACGTAAATATTTATCTAGAAAGTGAAACGGTATGTGGGTTGTAAGTGATATCCCCAACACTGTAAAATTATAATTGGAGTAAAACTGGAGAAACTTTGATAGATAGTTCTTAGTTAAAAATTCAGACACACATTACACTCAGTGACATGGTTTGTATTGGCAAAAATCCAGTGTTTTATTAGTCGAGTGACATGCAAGAAATTTAACAAATATTTCAACACAATTATACATGCATTTTATATATAGACTTCACAGAAGGAAATGAACACTGAAAATCTGAATAAATTAGTCTCTGCTCATTTAACAGGTTGTGAATATTACTCAACATTGTTTCCTGTCTCTTTGTAAACTTATTGATTTAAATTGTATTCCAAGCCTCATTTTGTCCATTATATAAAATTCTTTCAGAAACTCAGAATAAAAGTAATTTATTTGATAAATGTTAAAGTGGCACAATTAAGTTATAACCTACATAACTAAACAGTGTTATATTAAAGAGTGGCGCAATTAAGTTACAACCTACATGACCAAACAGCGTTATATTAAAGAGTGGCGCAATTAAGTTATAACCTACATAACTAAACAGTGTTATATTAAAGAGTGACACAATAAAGTTATAACCTACATAACTAAACAGTGTTATATTATAGAGTGGCACAATTAAGTTACAACCTACATGACCAAACAGTGTTATATTAAAGAGTGGCACAATTAAGTTATAACCTACATGACCAAACAGTGTTATATTAAAGAGTGGCACAATTAAGTTATAACCTACATAACTAAACAGTGTTATATTAAAGAGTGGCACAATTAAGTTACAACCTACATGACCAAACAGTGTTATATTAAAGAGTGGCACAATTAAGTTACAACCTATATAACTAAACAGTGTTATATTAAAGAGTGGCACAATTAAGTTACAACCTACATGACCAAACAGTGTTATATTAAAGAGTGACACAATAAAGTTATAACCTATATAACTAAACAGTGTTATATTAAAGAGTGGCACAATAAAGTTATAACCTACATGACCAAACAGTGTTGTATTAAAGAGTGGCACAATTAAGTTACAACCTACATGACCAAACAGTGTTATATTAAAGAGTGACACAATTAAGTTATAACCTACATAACTAAACAGTGTCATATTAAAGAGTGGCACAATTAAGTTACAACCTACATAACTAAACAGTGTTATATTATAGAGTGGCACAATTAAGTTACAACCTATATAACTAAACAGTGTTATATTAAAGAGTGGCACAATTAAGTTATAACCTACATAACTAAACAGTGTTATATTAAAGAGTGGCACAATTAAGTTATAACCTACATAACTAAACAGTGTTATATTATAGAGTGGCACAATTAAGTTACAACCTACATGACCAAACAGTGTTATATTAAAGAGTGGCACAATTAAGTTATAACCTACATAACTAAACAGTGTTATATTAAAGAGTGGCACAATAAAGTTATAACCTACATAACTAAACAGTGTTATATTAAAGAGTGGCACAATTAAGTTATAACCTACATAACTAAACAGTGTTATATTAAAGAGTGGCACAATTAAGTTATAACCTACATAACTAAACAGTGTTATATCAAAGAGTGGCACAATTAAGTTATAACCTACATAACTAAACAGTGTTATATTATAGAGTGGCACAATTAAGTTATAACCTACATAACTAAACAGTGTTATATTAAAGAGTGGCACAATTAAGTTATAACCTACATAACTAAACAGTGTTATATTAAAGAGTGGCACAATTAAGTTATAACCTACATAACTAAACAGTGTTATATTATAGAGTGGCACAATTAAGTTATAACCTACATAACTAAACAGTACACAATTAAGTTACAACCTACATGACCAAACAGTGTTATATTAAAGAGTGGCACAATTAAGTTACAACCTACATAACTAAACAGTGTTATATTAAAGAGTGGCACAATTAAGTTATAACCTACATAACTAAACAGTGTTATATTAAAGAGTGGCACAATTAAGTTATAACCTACATAACTAAACAGTGTTATATTATAGAGTGGCACAATTAAGTTATAACCTACATAACTAAACAGTGTTATATTAAAGAGTGGCACAATTAAGTTATAACCTACATAACTAAACAGTGTTATATTATAGAGTGACACAATTAAGTTACAACCTATATAACTAAACAGTGTTATATTAAAGAGTGGCACAATTAAGTTACAACCTATATGAAATTTTATTAATGATTTTAATGATATTTATATTATTAGATCTGTGTACCTAAAACAGTCTTTTCATGAATATTTGACTAGTCAAGTTTTTCTTTTTTATGTTAAAGTAGCTATCAATCATTTGTATTTTCCAGGATTCCTTGTTCTGTGTAGCGGCAGCCTTCGGATGTTTCTTCTACTGAATATTACATCATTACCAGTTATATCATTCCATTATCCGTCCACATCAAAATCTACTGTGATGTCATGAGACTGTGATGTCATCAAAAAGTGATGTCATGAGAGAAAGAACAACAAAGATTGCAAACATGGTTAGATATTTGAAAAAACGGACTATTAAGAAGTACTAGTAATAACATAAATAATCTCCACTGTAATTTTGTCTTTTATGTCTGATTTTGTGACAACCACCAGAAATAAAAAATGTGTGGTTTCAATCAACTTGTTGTAATGCAGAAAGTGGATTCTTGATAATGAGGTTTCTCAGAGTACCAGAATACTGTAGAAAAAATATATGATTTCCTTTTCCACTCCACATGGTAATGAAGACTCATCAGATAAATATAATGACTTGCTACTACTTGAAAAATTAATGGTCAGAATCTGCCTGAATCCTAACAATGTCTACATGTAATTATCATGTGTACGCAGCGCAAAACAAGAATAGAAATACAGTTGAAAAAAGTACCAAATGCAGACGAGGGCTGTCAGGAGTGAAAAATTGTTTTGGAATAGGGTGGGTTTAAAAGCAAAACACAGTTGCATGCCATTTGTTCTAAAAGGTTGTAGTGTTTCCCTATGAGTTATAATCTGCACCAGCATGAGAGGAGCCTGTACTTTTACAGTGGTTGCGATAATGCCAATGGTTAACACTTAGCGATTTGGTAATCTGTGGTAATGGTTTAAAAACAAACAAAACTTAAGGATGTATGCTACTTAGATGTGAAATGCATCTTTTTCTAAAACAAATACCACACTGCATTTGTGCAAAAGATAATGCTTATTAAAGATTCCCAAGGGACATAACTCTGAAGCAAAAGTAAGTCTACTGAAAAGATTGATTTATTCTTAAGTTCATTCTATAATTGATGTCATTGTTTGAAGTATTTTTTAAGGAATTTCAAATCTGCAAATACATTTTTATGTTGGTATTGATGAATTTATTTTCCTTCACACAAATATCTGATCTCTGGAATTGTAATATACAAATTCTTTTTGAATTCAATTTTGCCTGTCCTTTGACGTTTAATTTGACACCACACTAATGAACATTTTGTGTAAAGTAATATGTATCAAGATGATTCAGAATTCAGTGTTGAGAAGGTTTTTTGTGAAAATATCAAAAGTACCCTCTGAAGGATAATTTGACAGTTTTGTGAAGCAATCCAGGGAAGCACTAGGTTAGAGAAAGGAACTGCATACTGTATTGATGTATGAGTGTGTTGTGTGGATGATTGTGTAAATGAAAATTATTTTTATTCATGAATAAACTATCATATTAGATTGCTTTGCTTTTCATTTTTTATACCAGAACAATGGAAAGGTTAAGAAATGTTTTGTTTTTCCCTCAGTTCGTGTATCTCTGTGTGAGATATTGTGGAGACTTCAGGTGTACTTCTATATACACTGTACTCTATAATGCTTATAAGCAATATTACATAGATATCAAATATAGGTCACTTTGACCTGTATTTTCTGTTCACTGAGTAATATTTCATTTAGTTATCACTGGAAATCAAAGTGAGCATTGCTACTTTCCTCATAGAAAATGTATGATTAGAAGTTCAAGGTAAGGAGTTCATAAACTACACTTCTAACATATCTGGGATATGTATTGGCTTAAAGGTTGTGCCTCCGGTTTTATTTTTGAAATATGTACAAGTAGTGTTTTCTTTTCTGTATGGATTGCTTAGTACATTTATTTCTTACATTTGTGTTTACGCCAAAACACATTTGTGATATCCGGTTCTGACGTCAAGAGTTCATCTAAGTGTTTGCATTTAGAACATCTCAACGTTGAAATGACAAGCTCTATCATCACAGAGATTGACGGAATATGTTGTTTGTGTATAACCTAGAGTTTACTGGCTTTAGTTACATCAACACGTAATTTTACGTTGAGTGAACGAGAATAATTCTAGACGAAAACAAATACACAAAAAATGTGATGACAGAAAAACGTACACATTAGCATAACACTGCAATTGATAATGTGTACATACCAAATGCAATTAGCGTAACTCGGTTCGGTAACACTTTCACGCGCTAAAACATGAATGCTCTCAGAAAAAAATGTATTCATTCTATCATAGATCTTTAAAGGTAAAATGAATAAGCTATATTTAATGAATTTGTTTCTTTCAAAATTAAAATGGTATGTATAAGAAACACGAAGTGAACTTTAGGATGGAGCTGTATTCAGATTGCATTCATAAGATCACACGTGCTTCTTGAAAGTTGCCATTTCCGGTCGGCACATGAGCGTAATTTGTGTTTGCTCTCTATTTTTTTTGTCATTTATACCGGCTATAACAAGACAGTTCGATGTTTATCTTTACATTCCAAACATAAGTTTCTTTCTTATACCGATTATACTCCGATTTAAATTAAAATCAATTATTTCTCAAATTTCTTTATCTACAGTCACGGTAATAATCCGTCAAGTAGAACAGTCGTTTTGACGGTTTCCGTCGCTACTACCAAAAGTAATGAAGTCAAATACCCGCTACTTGCCACGCTTTGGATTTCGGCGCTCTAAATTTCACTTTTTTTTAGTTGATAAAGTGATATTTCAGCGAAAATGTAAACATATTACTCTGGTTTATTATTTTAGCTTGCAACAAACGAACAAGTATTAATCACAATAGTGTATACCTGTTGATTCCTTTGCTCTCATTTAGGAACGTAGCATTATTTGGATTGATCAAATTTGGCCGATGAAGGAGAAGACTCTTCCGCAACACTTGGTCTTATTCTCTTTGTACTTTTCAGGAGTTTCCTTGTAAATTCCATTATTTATTCTTATTTGCTTTATTTATTTATTATTATTTTTCAATTTGAGTTGTGATATGATTCTGTTAACATGCTGGATTTTTCTTTCATGTTTTCATACTTAAGCTGAAAACCACTCCGCTCTCGTTCAAACGGCAACGTGAATGGTTGTTCAAATGGCAATGTTTATGACAAATCACATATATACAACAAATATTACAATCACAAAGACATTTGATCTTCAGATGCAATCATTTTATACTGATGTGGAATTTTAGCAAAACATAGATAATAAACAATAAGAAAAATGTTGAACTTAGACGATAAAGAAAAAGACCGTTCTGTGTGATCTGATGTTTGGAAGTATTTGAAGCATTCTCACAGCATAAGTCTCCGAGGAGGAAATGTTCTTCGACATTATCGAAAGCATACACAATAACAACCAAGAAAATATCAACATGTTAACTGAATCTTTATTCAAACTGAAAAAAAAATTCGGTGAAACTAGGGTAAAGTTTGAACGAAAGAAATAGGGAGACTCCGGAATGAGTGTAAAGAAGATAAGGTCACGTGATATGGAAAAGTAAGCATCTTCTGCTCCATCGACGATACCTACCAATCATTCATTTTTAAAGGGGGCAAAGACACATGTCATTGTTGAATGGTTACTATATGTTCTTTATTTGTCGCACCTTTGTGACAAGTTATATCAGTTTATAACGTACATTTATCGACCTTGTTAAACCCTAGTTTGCCAAACGCAAGAAGAATCCGACTGTGGAAGGAAACCAGACCACCTAGGGTGAGCTCACGCGGAGGCAACCCCATGTTTGTTAACGTCCGATCAGGGAATCGAACTCCTAAAGGCAAGCAAGTCATCGCTGGACTACCCAACCACCCATTAGGGGTTAAAGGTCACAATCAGATACTCTCTGAAAATGTTAATATTTATATATGGTTACACAATGAAGTTAGTGGTCCATTGGATTTATGATCTGAATTTTTTTCTAAAAAAAGTTAAACCTTAATTACGGATTTAATGGAGAATAGTATTCCAACTATGTCTTGACATTGTAAATTTCACGATAATTGTTGACCAGCCTGGTCAACAGACAACCTTGTCCAATAGATTATTTCACGTATCCGTTGTTGTATAACTTGTTCTCATTTAAGAAATTTAGGATAATTTAGCAATAATTTACTTTATTTGTAACGATATGTATGCAGCTGCGTATTTTCGTAAAGCCAACTATTTACGTACGCGCCTGCGCACTTGAGCACGACTCCATCATTTAACGAACAGCTCTTATACGGATGCTTGAGAATAAAAGGTCTGATGGATGTTTTATCTAATGGAATCCTACTTAGAAATGACGCCTTTATTCTTCATGAAAATACTGCTTCAGGTGGAAAATTATCGGAAACTCCTACACCGGAACCGGAAGGCTAGATGACGTCACTAGTTGATTTCAAATGAGATAGAATATAAGAACCATGCCGAAAGGCCTTTCATCCCTGTTGTGTGAGCTATCCACAAATTCTCAGCCACAACATCGCATGTTTTGGTTTTGCATGTCAAAATATTTCTGCCCTGCTTGGTGAGAGTCTACAATGTATCAATACCAGTAAGCCAGCGTGCAGTTATCTGTGTTTGACATCAGAAGACAAGGCTTTGTTTGGTTTACTGAGCTTGTAGTGTCTACTTTCTACTCGTATTTGTTGATGCATGGTATGATAAAATTTGACCAGTGCTCGAGGAATCCCTTCTTCAGTACATATCTACATATTATACACAATACTTGGTCAAGTGTATAGCAATCGAAAATATAGAACGTAGACTTAAAGTTTCATTTGACGTTACGTCGTCATTTTTATCAATTTAAAAAGTAACAATTGACAACTTCAAATAAACGTTATTTACATTCCCTTGCATTCTGCCCATTATCAGCAAAACGCCTACCAAAACATCATATTCAAATGGATATGGACGTAGTTGGGTCTTAATTGTTTTGGCGCTCTTCTCCTCGTCTGGTTTTATCTATATGGCCATCATTAGAATCAAACATTTACATGACGTTGCGATTCTCAACATTTAGATTCTTACGATGTGCGGTTGTCCCAGTGCTGTCGTTGCAATATCGATATAAAGAAAAGGCATACTATTTGAAATATGAATATCTATAAATTGTATTATAACATTGAACAAATTTGAGATGTTTTTCCATCTTAATGTGAACGGCAATTTAACGACAATACCAATTACGAACAGGAGTTATATTGAATGACAAAGACGGGTCCAGTAATTTCTACTCTGCCAAAACAGTAAGTAGATGGAAATTGATTAAAATGGGTACCTCGAATATTTTCAATTTTAAAGCATATATTTCCAGCGTTGATTTGTTATTATATGCAACAAACTAAATGCGTTTTGAAATTACAACATAGCATATGTCGTGCGCATCGCAATTTATTTCTTTTAAACTATAAACAATGAAGACATAAGTTAATCGCTATTAATGGATCTCAACTATGTAACCGTATCATTGATTGGTTAAAAAACGTCATCTGACAAAGAATCCATTCTGAACCTACGTCATATCCCGCCGCAGTTGTCGCACTTCCATTCTTCCATTTGTTTACATGATTGGCAGACGAGTATCAAGAAATCGACAATAGGCCAGGCTACTGGTTGACTAGTTGTACTCACATATATCAGTGCGTACACTGTAGACTCTTCACAATAAAGCGTCATAACCATTGTAATACAATGTGATTTTAACAGGAAATAGGTTTTTCCTGTATCGCATGTTAAGTGAAAACGAGGTTTGAAAATGTCTAGCAATCTCTCGAGATCTGATTGGACAAAAATTGGCATACCTTTACGACACCGATATGGTTTTGTGGACGAAATGTGTTTTATCTATTAAAACCATAATTTGGAATGTTATTTTATTAAATCCGTCAGATGCCTGAAATGATGACTCTATTAATCAGTCATAAATTGGTGTTGATTTTATTCCGTTTCATCTGGTCGGATCTTGTTTGAATATTGCGTGTCGAAAAGAAGCATTCCATGTTAGAAATATTTACTGCACATTCTAATTGTGAATCAGAGAAGATGGATTTAGAAGTGTTGGTGGTATTTATAGCCAAATACTCTTTTAGAATCTATAGGAAATACACTACCAACATGTGCTAACGTTAAAAAAATAATTAAAAAATGTATCAACGTTGTAAATTAAGATATGCAACAAACACCTCATTCCAGAATGAATGCACGTGATGCTTGTATTTCAACACCCACGTGATGGGGGTCCGTGCTAATGACGGAATTAAACGGACTCGGCCGAAATTTCCCGAATATATCGTCTTTAAATGTGGGCATTTTTTAATACAATGGTTCTGGCCATTGTACCATGACAAGATTGAACTGTCTTTGGTTCTATAACATTAATGTTCTCTTCCGTGTTCTTTTTTTTTATAATCACTCAGTTTTGAAAACAACGTCATTCGTTTTCGTTGATATTTGTAAACAAATTCTTCACCAGCTCCCCATCCTTCGATTAATTCCCTCTCTTGGGCCCCTTGCGTTAAAAATGATAACGATCGGGAATGTCGACAGCGTGCATCATAGATGTAGCACCGGAGGTGTTTCTACGATACAACAGAAAATTGATAAATTCCCTCTCTTCTACACAACATTAATGCTCTCTCATCTATATGTATAATGCATGCACATTGAATTCAGGTAGCAACAAATTGCCCGTTTTATGTATTATATTGAAAGGAACCATTATCCATTAGGCTTAATAGAAGATTCTTGCAAATCTGTCTTTGGATTAACGATGAGTGAAAAAACTAATGTTCTGAAATTGTTTTTGATATATTTCGGCTATGAAATAAACCATCTTGTAATACAGATGAAATTTACCTTTAGAAATTAAATAAATCGTGTCAGATTTCATCAGCTATTTAACATACACATATATATATATCGCATTATATTCCAATAGTGATTAAAAGGCTAAATGAGATCTTTGTCGTATTGACCTATTCTTAAATATTTTTTATTTCTTAATTTCCTATTACGACATAACGACAACTGCATTGTTAGCATACACTGTAGACACCGATCCATTCTACGCCTATATGCAGGCACAGGAGTAATCGATGGCGCCATATAATGATCCTTCTACCCTTTTTCAAAACCGAAGCAAATCTGCTCTGATACAGAAACAATGTTCAAACACTTGTTCTTTGTAAACAAGATGGGAAAGTATCCATTTATAACAAAACCATATCAATTACGTAAGAAACGCTGTATAAAGTGGTTACATAATATGTACTAAACGATGTGTACTTAACTTATTTGCGTTAATATCATACAAAACAAAAAATAAACATAATTTGATGCTAACTGCGTTGCAGAGAATCAAGAGGGCGTTAAAAACGCGGAGTGCCGAAGTCGGAGTTTTGAACCTTTATTGTGTGTTATCGGTTCTTGTATTGCACTGTAACGACTGGTGAGCCTTTTATCAGCCTGTTGTGACCGGAAAGGGTAGCTTGTTACCGTGTCCAACTTTTCGGTATGATTACACTATAATAGCGTCCGTCCTTTATCTCCCCATTTTTGGTAATTGTCTTCATAACACATTCGCTATTGATAAATATTTTTCGACAAAGCACGGTGGAAACGTAGCTTACAATGACTAAATAGGGCAGCAGGATTGGTGGACAGAACCCGACTTTTTTCCTCACATTAAAGCTCACCCAAAGGCGATGCAGTGTGAAGTAAGACAATAAAAATGTTCTAGGTTTAATCGTGCGTCCTACAACTACAGAATGGGTTTCACGTCAAACACTCTACAGAATTTCTGACTGACAGAACTGTAACGGAACAGTGAGTTTGTTTGGAGCAGCTCTATGATATTTCAGATACAAAGGGTCTATAAAGTGAGTGTTGGAACAGAATCACAGTGCGCTTTTTTTTTTAGTAATATTTGGCTTGTTATTTCCAGTTAACCTGAACATTACAAATCCGAAATTGTTACGTCTTCCATTCGTGAGATTGACGTCTGGAGAAAAGAACGTAATATTTTCAGACGAATTTATGACGTAACAAACAATACCTGCTCACAGGACTGAATATAACCTACCGAAACTGTGATTGACTGAAGATTACAATGGCTTCCATTATGATGTCATAACCTCGTGACGTCATATGCATTATCATGTCAATCAAGAGAGATAGTGGGAAAATTATCGCCCAATTGTGTACCAGTCTACTTAAATGTTATTTTCACTTTTGTTTAAGAAGGATTTTTTTCAAAAGTATCGAAGTTATATGATAAACAAAATCTTACATTCGTTCAGCCTCGTTTCGTAATCTCAGATGAATAGAAACGGACATCAGATTATAAAATTGTTTATTGTGAATGTAGTATGAAAGAAATTCATGAAAATACCGCATATGCAAGTTAATAAATGACATCGACCCTATGTGAGATCATGAAATAATGTCTATGATCTGTTCAGCTTCGTGTTATTGAAAACCTCTGCCTTACAGCATATCAATCTGTCTGTACTGACTTTAAAAATCGGATAATCGCATTATTCCATAATCCGTAAATCTTCTTTGCTGTAATCCTTGAGCACCTTCCTAATTGGTCCCAGATTTCTTTCCTTGAGAACTAATACTTAAACAACACAAATATCATCCCATAACTTAACCAGACCCAACTTAACCAACGAAAACGCCTCGGACATTTTCACCGCTGGATGTTGGCTAGCCTTAACTGTTATTACAATTTGTTTTTTAAAAACACCACACACGTGTATACTTTCTGTTTTCCTTAAATTGATACAAACAGGTGCATATATGAGATTTACTAAAAATAAATGATTTTCCAGGGGATACTTTATGAAGGCCCAATCGACCTTCTATGTCGTATTTTATAATCATATACCCTTACTTCCCTAAACTATCAAGTGGTGTGGAATATTCCTGCACGGTTAATTTCTTACTGGAAGCGATAAGAATTCTGCCGTGCGATTGTTGGGTGCGTTCGCTTGTGTCTGCCTTGGAGGCCCTCTCGATACAATCCCCGACGTGTTATTATAAACAGTTCGGTCCCCAGAAATAAACTTTGATAAACTGTTGACCAGTTCGTGTTAGTTTCGAACTCGCCGCTGGAGGAAGTTTTATCCACAGACAGCCGTTGGGTGCGAGTGAATGTGTTTGTAGGTGAGGCCGTAATACTGTCATTGGACTAAAGGTTTTAACCCGAGAAATTACGGCAAAATTTCAAAATGTCTGCTGACGGATGTATGCCAGATTTAGATGGTAAGTAAAACATATATATATATATATAGTATGCTATAGTTATAGCTGATTTTAAATAAAACATTCGCGTAAAATTTCAATAACGACCGCATAACACAATAATGCCGTTTAGTTACACTAGGAAACGTATAAATGATTGAACTAATTGTTTCATTTCTGACTCCTAATTCGATGTTCGAACGCGACGCTCAATATACGTGTGTAATTTTAGCACGACAAACGGCGGATACGCACTATACCGGAAGGGTAGGCGTCTGTGACAGGGACATGTGCATACCTGTGACAGCTCGTGTATTATTACGCTGTTGTATTCCTGCGTGGGGAATACGCACCACTTCGGCGAAAGCAATTGCATTCCTCGTCGAGTCTAAAAATTGATTTGTTTGAAGTTTTCTTTGTTATGAAACTGAATTTAAATGAAATTTCAAATATATCCCGGGTTCGACACGAAGAAAAAACTGTACGTGTACGTAGTATTGTATCAATGTAAACGTAACGCGCAAGAATGTAATCGACATTTTAATGAAATCGATTAATTAATTTAATTAATTTCTTAATTTGTTAAATTTTAATTTTAATCAAATTAGCTTTTTTTAAAAATAAAATACTATCCATATCGTCCTTGTTGCAATGTATTAACTGTGATACAAAGCACATTAACGATGCATGTAATTGTGGTTAAATACCCCATCGGCGCCCCACGCACGAAGCACGGTCAGGCCATCGCCTGCCTTCCTATATCAGATGCTGGCATCTATCAAATTCTTCAGTTTCTGGTTTCGAATTTCATGCCTTTTTCGATCAGGCCTCGATAAATAAGGGAAGGGGTCTTTAGCACCAAATAAGACATACAAGATAAGATACCGTTTTTTCGTGAATGAAAATATTTCATTTATGTTATTCAGTTATGTCAAAATTAAATGTTATTTAGAACTTGACTGTTGTATTTTATATTACGCAACTAAGATTAATTTGAATTCCTAGTAACTCGACTTTTGTGGAATGTATGCTGAACCTAACATACATGTAGCATGATTTTGAACATAGACTGAGAGCCTAATTAGATATAAGTAAAAAGGCAAATTAGACAAGACAGCTTCCTGTCTCGCTATTGATAGATCGTTATCACGCGGATGATATGATATATGAAGTTCACAGTACTATTTATAGAAATGCTTGTTAATATTGTTTGTATGACGTCATGAGTAATGACATGTGTTGAATAATTGCGTCTTTACATTCATAGGTAGGTACTGCATTATAGATATATAAGTCGTTATAAGGAAAATTATCTCGACTTCGTTTCGGTTAATATATCTTTCATATGGTTATGATGAAATAATGTATCCACCTCATTAAGTGTTTACAAGTTATGGATAATATGATAAAAACAATAAGGTATGCATTACCTTGAAATTTTGGCGAGTTTTCTCGCGGTTACTGCGCATGCGTATTTCGTGATTATTTGCGTCTGCGCGGGTATTAGATACCGCCGTATGAATGTCATAAATTTGCTATTTTTAGCGTTAGTCAATATCGATGTTTATCAACCTTAACACAATAATGATACCAGTTTCGCAACTGTCAGTGGTCACGTGACAGTTAATATTTCAGTTTTCTACTCTACCGTATAAGGTAATAATTTTGGTTTCATAGAATTTGTGACAGCACAACGTTTCTTAGTGAATGCCGTGTCTTTTCTTTTCCCGATTTTAAAGTCGCTCCCTGTTTATAACTTCTCGTCACCGCTAATCAACCGGAACTTTAATCCAGTTATTAATATGTCGTGGGATGTTTTTGGCATTTTAGACTCTCGGAAACAATTATTTTCAATCCATATGACATTAAAGGACATTTACACACAAAATCCGACATGGAAGTCAATATTTATTTATCAATCTCGAGGTAACTGACCCCGGTATCCGGTACATTTGATCACTTCTCAGTTAAAAGTACACGATCGGCGGTCACACAGGTATAACTTCAGACCATGTTAACTTCCTTCTATATAGATATAACTGCTGTGTAAATGTACTTGCTGGGAAGAAACAAACCAGCAAAACCGTTAAAGTGAAATGTTTTTAATTAATATAATTGGAAAAATGAATGTACAAAATATGTGTTGAATTATGAGCCTTGCTTGACTATATGTTTGCTTGCGAATCGCCTAAATCAACTGTAGGCAATGGCGAAACGGAATACTAATAGTAATCGCCTCGCCCGCCGTTTGCATGTGTCTGGAGGAATGATTGGGATTCGACAGAAAAAGTGTGTCTGAGAGCAGATAAACGAATGTCATGATTGATGTAATTATAAGTTTAAAGTATGGCTAACTCGATGTATTCATTTAAATCTACAAGGACTGTATAACATTGGCCAGAAAAAAGGGATAGGTATGTTATGTTTGTAAAATAGGTAACCAAGGTTTTCTATCGGAGAGGTACCACTTTACTCATTGAAAGAAATAAACAACTGTCTTGCTGAAGAGATTTCTAGCTGATTCCGGAGTCAGCCATGTATTCAGTGATGTTTAAGCAGTTTTTTTTACTGTGGATGAGCGGAACAGCGGACGCTTTCTAGGGTCAGTTTTTTTATATTCGTATTTGATTTGCGGTCTTCTTGTTTTAATGTTTTCTCTTTCTTATTTCGTTAATGTGGATTCCGACCGTCGATATCTGCACGAGAGCTGTACTTATGTGCATGTTGATTGCACATTTCATAGATTGAGATGGGTTGTTGCGGAAAATGGAGGGGGCGATATAATAAGATAGACATTATGAAGGTAGATAGTTTCCAGAAAGTACCCGAGATGACGAAACACTTACAATGTCTATTTATAGCAAGAGTCACTATTCAGATACGTATGCAAATTAGTTGGTCAGGTGATCAATTAAATGTTTACTTCCAGTATTAGCTTTCGTCCTAGTTTAATTTTGACAACACCGTAAACAAAATTCAATTTTCTTTAATTAGACTGACCTAGAAACCGCTCGCTATGCCATAAGTCTTTGTATGCTTCATTACATTCTGAACGGACGAGGGAATCCTGTTGATAGACTGATGAAGTTTTCTTATTTCGCTGCACGGTAAATTAGTGTCAGGAGGAATGGTGTATCTGTTAAATTAATTCCCAACTGAGTAGGGCCAGCGAAGCTCTTTGATGTTTTCAAGTGAAGGAACCCTGTAATGGTTTACTTTCCATTTAAAACACTTCAAATCCTAGTTCAAATAACACGATTCCAGATTTACACGAATGTTATTTTGTTTTACTATCCTAGTACTGCTGTTCAGTTTGAGTTGTAAATCTTTACGGATATTGGGGGCTACATTATCTAGAATATAACTACCAGTTACTGTAATATAGTGATGCCTGTAACTACCTGTTACTGTAATTTAGTGATGGCTGTAACTACCCGTTACTGTAACATAGTGATGGCTGTAACTACCCGTTACTGTAACATAGTGATGGCTGTAACTACCCGTTACTGTAATATAGTGATGGCTGTAACTACCTGTTACAGTAATATAGTGATGGCTGTAACTACCCGTTACTGTAATATAGTGATGGCTGTAACTACCCGTTACTGTAATATAGTGATGGCTGTAACTACCCGTTACTGTAATTTAGTGATGGTTGTAACTACCCGTTACTGTAATATAGTGATGACTGTAACTAACCGTTACTGTAATATAGTGATGACTGTAACTACCTGTTACTGTAATACAGTGATGGCTGTAACTACCTGTTACTATAATACAGTGATGGCTGTAACTACCCGTTACTGTAATACAGTGATGGCTGTAACTACCCGTTACTGTAATACAGTGATGGCTGTAACTACCCGTTACTGTAATATAGTGATGACTGTAACTACCCGTTACTGTAATTTAGTGATGGCTGTAACTATCCGTTACTGTAACATAGTGATGGCTGTAACTACCCGTTACTGTAACATAGTGATGGCTGTAACTACCCGTTACTGTAACATAGTGATGGCTGTAACTACCCGTTACTGTAACATAGTGATGGCTGTAAGTACCCGTACTGTAACATAGTGATGGCTGTAACTACCCGTTACTGTAATACAGTGATGGCTGTAACTACCCGTTACTGTAATACAGTGATGGCTGTAACTACCCGTTACTGTAATATAGTGATGGCTGTAACTACCCGTTACTGTAATATAGTGATGACTGTAACTACCCGTTACTGTAATTTAGTGATGGCTGTAACTATCCGTTACTGTAACATAGTGATGGCTGTAACTACCCGTTACTGTAACATAGTGATGGCTGTAACTACCCGTTACAGTAATATAGTGATGGCTGTAACTACCCGTTACTGTAATATAGTGATGGCTGTAACTACCCGTTACTGTAATATAGTGATGGTTGTAACTACCCGTTACTGTAATATAGTGATGACTGTAACTAACCGTTACTGTAATATAGTGATGGCTGTAACTACCTGTTACTGTAATACAGTGATGGCTGTAACTACCTGTTACTGTAATACAGTGATGGCTGTAACTACCCGTTACTGTAACATAGTGATGACTGTAACTATCCGTTATTGTAACATAGTGATGGCTGTAACTACCCGTTACTGTAACATAGTGATGGCTGTAACTACCCGTTACTGTAATTTAGTGATGGCTGTAACTATCCGTTATTGTAACATAGTGATGGCTGTAACTACCCGTTACTGTAACATAGTGATTGCTGTAACTACCCGTTACTGTAATATAGTGATGGCTGTAACTACCCGTTACTGTAATTTAGTGATGACTGTAACTACCCGTTACTGTAATATAGTGATGGCTGTAACTACCCGTTACAGTAATATAGTGATGTCTGTAACTACCCGTTACTGTAATATAGTGATGGCTGTAACTACCCGTTACTGTAACATAGTGATGTCTGTAACTACCCGTTACTGTAATATAGTGATGACTGTAACTACCCGTTACTGTAACATAGTGATGGCTGTAACTACCCGT